ACACAAATCACAGAGGTTGTCTGGGCAGATTCCTATGGCCGGCTCAGGTCATCCCAAAGTCCCAGCTCCCAACACCTTCCCATTGGTGCGATATCGGGTCCCCAAGGTTTCGCTCCCAAGGATTATTTTCTCTCAAAACCATAAAAGTCCGCCACCTTATGGAAAAACCTTCCTATCCGTTTCTCCAATCTCTGGATATTTCTTTGTTGTGAAAAAGGGTCAAGGATGATTCGGCAGGGGCCAGGAAATGGCGCCCGACCTTGCAGCTCCTGCAAGGACCAATGCCACTCGTCAAATGGACGTAGCTCCGAAGAAACATGTGCCCCCCAAACCTCAATATCTACAAAACGACAAAACCACTACAAGAGGTTCTATGTTTTTTTCTCCATTTCCCCCCCACCAATTGTTTTTCGGGTTCTGCATTTTCGGGGCGCTCTTTTGGAAGACACAAAAGCGGCAAGCGAAATCCTCAGCCGAGGCCGGCGCAGGACCGTCACAGTAAAGGCTCACGCAGTGCTGGCCAGCTCCTGGTGAGTTTCTTGTTGCGGATGTGTTTACCCTCTCTCCTACTAACATGGCACCTAGGGTCCCTCCAAGAGGAAGCTGATCTTCCAGGTGCCCTCCCACAGGTGCCATGTTAGTGGGAGGAAGGGTAACCCTTGTGATACCAAAGATGGGTTGACTCCCTTGACTTTGTCACTTTCAAGGAGGCTAAGCCCTTGTGAAAAAGTCGGTTGGCCAACACTGTTGTGGCCACCAACATGTGTCTAAAAACCAATCCGGGTGCTAGATAAGAAAACCATCGGGATAGGTCAAATGGAATATTCAACATAATATGTGATTTGGCATTTTGAGGGTATGTTTTGCCCTGTTAAGAACAGGGTTTTAACACTATTGCTACATGGCTTAAACAGTCTCCTTTTGGTTAGCCTTTCAAGGGCGCCCAGGTCCTTTTTGGTTGGCCGGGTGCTAACTAATATGGGGGCATGCAAAATGGCAATCATCCACCCCCCCTGTCGGTTTCCTTTACTGGACATTGATAAAAATATGTGCTGGATTGCACCCAGCAACAAAATGTGTGCATTCGATCGGCAACTGTAGGTCAACGTATTACACCAGGCTGTCACTTTTGTGGGTAACCAACTGGTTTTGCCATTCAAGGGCTCCGAGGGCTCCGAGTCAGAGACTGGTGACCCACAGCACCTTGGGAGGGTTGCCCTATTTGGGGTGAGCAACAAAAGATCAGACCCTTGGTGCTAATTCCTGTAGCCTCGAAAACAGTCTTAAAGTCTCTGGCTCCTTCAGGCTTCCATTCGACTGAATCGAACAAGCTGCTAGAAATGGAATCCGCCGGTAGAATCCGGAAACTCAAGGACACCTCTTTTGAAGGTTCTATTTTGCTGCTTTCCGGAACCTTGTCAAAATACTTTTTTGGGCTGACGTTAAAGGGAAACCCTTCCAAACGAAACAAGTCGGACATAAAGGGAAGGGGACCAAATCCTTTCGCAATCTAGCCTACTCGGTGGGCATTGGGGTCGGGATAACGAGAATGCAGGATTGGGCTGAGGGAATCTGGGTCACTCTCCAGAAGGAAACCCGAAAAAAGCAAAACGCCTGGCGGGTGCCATTTTTGGGGTCGTGCCCCAAAGAGAAAAGAACATGGTCCACGTTCTTTATCAAGAAGTCCATTTCTCTCATTACGGGAAAACCTGATTTACTGTACAGAACAAATACCCTCCCCCAGACTAACATGGAAGCCTTTGGAAGACATGGTCCCATTTACAAAGGGCTTCTTGGAGCTTCCCCGGGCTTGTCTGAGGGAGTGCCAAGAAGGATCCGCTCGAAATGGCTGGTCAAAACCCTCTGGTGAACATCAAAATAGGTGGCACATGGATGTTCATCCACCCGAAAATGGCTCGCCATATGCCCCATGGCCCAATCTCCTCTGCGCGAAATCTGTGGACGTCAGCTGCTGCGACCACCGCGAAAACCGCGGCGCGGTGGAAGCTCGGAGCGGCGAAGGCCCACGCGGCGTTGGCCGAGTCCTGCCGTGGGCCATAGCGACAGGTCTCTGTTTTTGGAGTTGATTTGGTCTACCTTTAAAAGGCGCAATTAGGGCCCAGCACAAGCGTTTCTGGCGTCATGTCCATCTTTTTCTGTTTCATGACCGCTTTCGCATCAACTCATGGACTTGTAGCCACTATGTGGGCCATGTTCATGGCTTTTCAAGGAGCCCTTATAATGGTTGTCTAGCATTGCTGGGGTCCATGACTAGCCCTACCAAGTAAGGGAGTCTGACTTACATGCTCGAAATCTGAGAAGCAAAGGTCAGCTCGTGCTCGGAGCTGCCAAAACTTATCAAGCGGTCATTTACAGTAGCACGTAACACATGCTCCCTTGGACGCAAAGCACATGATCCCCGACCAAACTGGACTGCACACCCACCACTCTACTGGAAATCATAGCCATGACGGCAGTCTTTGCGCTGACAATCGTATTAACAAACAGGCTACTTCGGGGGGGGGGGTTCGTTCGATCAACCTGTCAGCCGTCAAAGAACATCCACAATGATTGGGTGACTTTCTAACGGAAAGGTTCGATAGGATGCTACACACACATGGTTCATGATTGTCCTGGACTTCGGCTCATGATTCCAGGTTTGTGGGCTGCGGCTGTAGCTCAAAAATGAGCACCCCCGGACCCCCCCCCAAAAAAAACCAACCGCCCAGTTTGTGAATAACGCAAACTGACAGCAACATCCGTGGATATTCTGGGTCCTCAACTTTGAGCCACACATTCAGGTGGATGAAGCGACTGGCGGTTTTTGTTCACTCTTTCAAGCTCTCAAGGATACATTCGGGCCAGTCAAAGAGCTGGCTTACGGATTTCCGTGCAAAGCAGGTGATTCAATCTGGGAACCCTGTCCTAGCTGTTCGCCTCCCTCTGCTTGCGCAGGAACTCAGCTGCAGCGGCCGTCAGCAGTGGCTCGCCCCTGCATAAGCAGCGGACCCACTCCACCGGAGGTCTGTAGTAAAAAGCCTTCATCCTGCCACCTGGCACTCTTTGTTTGGTTGATTCTGAAGGGTTCCCCCCTGTAAGGTGAAGGGACACCCATCCAAATAAACAAATTTGCACCCCACTGGAGGTCTGAGCAAACTAGGTTTTTTAGTAGAGAGCTTAGAATCATGGTACCCTTTATTTTTCTGTGGTCCATTTTAGTAAAACCCTCCCAACCAAAAAGAAACGGTAACAGGGCACCTTGGGGGACCTAGTCTTCCCGTCCCACCTGGCGTCCAGCCGCGCGGAGGCCCAGGCCACGCGCGCCAGGCCCAGCGTCTTGAGCTCGCTGAGGGCGCCTTCGGCGCGCCGCGCCGAGGTGTCCGTGGGAAGCTCCTGCCGCGTGCGGCGGGTGGGGCGGGGCATGGATTGTATGGTCTATGTTGCGACCTCCTGTTTTGGGGTATGTGTTGCTTTTGGGGTTTGAATCTGCAAAATAGACTGCCATTGTGGGGGACCCCAATGGGTGAAAGTAAAATCTGGTGTTCAAGAGGTCTATCCAAGTCTATGTGAAAGAAGTGGGCGGCTGCCCACCTTTTTTGACATGCAAATCCGGAAAGGCGCCAGTTGTGGAAGACGGAGGAGTCTGTTTGCAACGCTGGTGGACGCGATCTTAAAACCTCCGTCGTTGAGGAAAGGTGGGTTTGTCGTCGTTGTTTTTCCCCCTTTTTTCTCTGAGAACTGCAAGTGGAGCCAGGTTGCCCTGTGTGATTTGCAGTTTTGGGAGGTGCAACCCAGCCCTGCAATCAGCCTCACTCCTGCTGTCAAGAGGGGCTTCTTTTGGTGGCCAGTTTCTGCTTGGGATGGCTGGGTAGACCCTCAGACCCTCATACTCTTTCCAAATATCCACCACGAAGAACCAACAAGCCTCGTCATGAGGGGTGACGATAAAGGTGAACCAGGGATGCTTTCCGAAGCGCTGTATAGTTTGAACAAGACAAATACAGCTCTGCGCGCGACTTGCAGCACTGATTGTCAGTTTGCTCGTCAAGGGCAAAGCAAAGATCTTCAGAACATAAAAAGGCGTGGCTTTGTTTGAGGGCACCTAATTTGCGGGTTGTTTTTTATTGGGCACGAAATGGGAATCACAGGTTTTAGGGGGTTCTCCTTTTTTCAGACAAGCCCATGAAGAAATCATCGGACACTGAAATCGCTACACTTGTCCAATTTGTAGGCGGAATTCAATCCAATATATGCTCTTGCTGAGCCCGGCCTTCTCTCGCTCTCTCTCTCTCTCTAGTACGTGTATGTCAAGAAATTCGTAATATCCATTCGACACGTTGATGCCACTGCAAATTGTGCGCCTCAATTTTTCATCTAGTAAGGTCCCCAATCCAGAAAGGTACAGCAAGACTGCAGCGGCCAAGCCCTTCGCGCTTTTCTGTCGCATGTTTTGTTGGCGCATCTTTCTTGTTGCACCAGCTGTTAATGACGCAAGCCCAGCAATACTCCGTTGGAACAGCGGGTCGTGCATCGATCATGACACGCTGTAAGCGCTGTCACAGCCACAGCACACGATGAATTGGTGTGAGCTCTGGTAAGAGCTCCTGGTTCATGGCTAGATTAGCCAATAAGCTATTGCATAATTCTGGGGTTTCAAAACGGAAAGGGGTTCATGCATGGACGTCGTGCACATTCGGTCTTAGTGGCAAAAACCTACTTCAGAAAAGGTTCGTCGCTTTGTCCGCTGTGATTCTCACAGCCTCGCCCAAGCAAACCTACATGAGGGTAGTCTATAGTCCATTTCGGAGGACATGGACGAATAGTTAAATCTTTAACACAAACTTTCCACGCTATTGAGCCTACTTTGATGTGGTGGAATTGCCAAGTCTGCATGTTCCTGCTAGACATGGATTGGGTGTTTCCAAAACTTGCTTGGACCCCCTTTGTGGGGGGAAACAAAGGCAACCTGCCATTGTATTGGGGCTCCCAAAATCTATTTTGGGACACCTCGAAGTTGAAAGCACTGTTGCTCATCAATATTGGCGAGCAACACCAGAATCTTGCGCGCAACCATGGTTCTCTCACAGGCATCGATGGCAGCACCTGGGATCAGTGGCAGATGCTGTACCGGATTGCTCCGAACACGTGTCTTTTCCCAACAAATTTGTATGACAGTGTATCCTCAACTTTTGGAATGTTTGACAATATAGCTATTCATACACCTCCAACTAGAAACGATGACAAATCATTGTCAGTTGCAAGGGTAAACATTGGTCCCTGAAAACGAGCCAAGGCAGGGAAACCGGTCACCAGGTTCGATCATTGTGGTGTGGTCAGCTTTCGAGGCTAGGAGCAACCCGCGTAATGTGTGCCATTGTTCCTTGCCCGCTCCAAGTTGCTCTGACAAGTCAAATGGTCTTCCGGAGGTGCCAAACGTTCAAACTGAGCCCTGAGACTTACCTGCCCCGCTTTGCGCAATGGCACAAACACCTCCCCCTCCCCCCGAAACCTGCAGGTGGAGGCGCCGTAGCTGAGGACATTGGGCATCAGTTCTTGGCTTTGGCGTAGCGCCTGCAGAGCCACCCGCCAGGGGAGGCCGACGGCCTGCATGGCAGCGTTGTACCTGAGCCCAGCAAAGGCGCAAGGCTGAGCTTACCGGAACTTATCTGACGAGCTCTTCCCTCAACGCAGCCAAAAAGCGAAACATCGAAGGATCGAAAAGAACCTTCGCCCCTTGATCTTTGTCTCAGCCCCTCCCAGCTCCCCCAGTTTTCGCACATCCAGGTACCCTCCCACCATCCCTGACTGACAACCACGGGGCGTGATCAGATCCGGCGCGACGCTGGAACCTGGGCTGCTCTTCGTTCGGGTCAGCTGGCAGTTGGGCAGTTTCCTTGAGACATCCACGGGGCTACGACCTGAGAAAGTCAAACCTTGTCATGGAGTTCCCCTGTTGCCCCCGCGGGCTACCAGTACAACCTAACAACATGAAAGATTGTCATGGCGTTCGCCCGGACCTGCTAGGACAACCTAACAATGGCGGACATTGTCATGTTAACCTCCCTTTTACGACATTTCAAGCGCGATCCCGAATGGAAGATGCGAGGGGGCGGGTCTAAAGAACTAGAATATGTCAGACGGTGTGCGCTCTTCGGGGTTCCATTAAACCGCCAACACGCGGCTTTGCCCTTTTCCCACATCCACTCCCCCAAATTGCACCGCCATGCGAGGTTGCGAGGGGTAACTTTTGGAAGCGTCAAGCATGCAACAACACTATCCTTGAGACTTTTGACACCAGAGAAAATCAAGTTCAACCCCTTCCTTTGAATAGTTTCTACACTTTTACATGTTTAGACCCAGAACACCTCTCCGCAAATCGCAGCTGCCAGGGGCGAATCGTCCCCCAAGAATCAGTTGGAGCACTTTTCTTGAACTTAAAAGTGGGGCTGCCACACAGGGCCCAATCTTCCCCGCCCACCCCAGCTGTACCCCAAGGACTCGAAAAACCAGGACCAGTTAGCGAAGTGCAACCCTGGTTGCAAGAGTGTCTAGGGTTGAGTGGGGGGTAATTGGGTGCTGGGTGCGTTGGGGTTTCCTGAAGGGAGGGGGACAAAGCAACTCAACTAAACAAGGGACAACAAGCTCCGTTTCAGGTCTCTTGTAAAGCGCTCGGAAGATTCTGACCCAAAAAACGGCTGGAAGGGGATGGGCTGTTTTTTTCGGGTTTGGACAACCAAAACTGGTCGTGACTCCTTGGGTTGCCTTCCACCCTTTCGACCGTTTTTCACCGCCCCTCGGCCGTTCGGAACCAAATCACTGAGCAGCTGCAGGCCCTGCCGCCAGGCGCCCACCGCGGCACAGGCGCTGAGAGCGCTGTTGCACGCCACCAACTCCGCCAGGCGCCTCGAGTTTCGAGTCGAGTTCGCCGATTCGAACCGTGTCGAGAACCGAAAGGTAAGGCAACCCAAGAGGAAGCTTGGCCCAAATCTCTACACCAAAAGCAAATGCTCAGGTTCTGTCTCACACTAATACACAGTGTTTTGGAGGAGACACCTGGTATGGGAATCCATGAAGTCTGAATTGTTTGGGCTACAATGAATCAAGGATTTCTTCCACACACAGTCGCGCCGAAATCCGTGGACTGAGTTGATGCAGATGTCATGCTTACAAATCTTCTCCTGCAACTGTTTGGAAAATAAGCGGCTATCTAAACATGTTTGGAACGCAGTTCGAGTAGTCTCGGGGTTCTGTTTGGAGCCCATGATAGTCCCAAACATTGCTCCATGTCTGGGGAAAGCCCTAAGAGAATGTCCAAGAAAATGAAGTCTTTGAATCTTGCCCAAAAGAAACACACGACCTGTCCCAGCTTGCGAAGCTTGGGGTCGACTGCTTTTCCCCTTGAAGTTTGCAACCACCGAGCACCCAGGCATCAGCTCTAGTGGCCAGTCCCGAAAACGAGGCCATGTTGCAGACTCTCCCAAACCACTACACATACCCTAAACTGCACTTGCCTGCATTTCCCCTTGGTGGTTTTAAACATGAAGTGAATTTCACTTTGATGGCGTGAGCTTCAAAAAAGGAAGCTCACTTCAAATTGGCAAATCCGAAGGTGTATTAAAGCCACCAAATGGAGAAACTTAGCAACCCCTGCCACCCCAAAGGCCCTGCCCCGAAGCCTGGCGTTGGCGCCTCTCAGCAGCGCCAACGCATGTCGCCAGCTGCGCCCTGCGCCGCAGGCGCTGATGGCTGCAGAGAAGCTGACGATGTCCGGCGTACCCAGTTGGCTCCTGAGACGTAGCATCATACTGGTAGATGTCTTAAAATATGCGGGGCACCCAACCAAAAGAACGGTTTTCCTCGTGGTGCCCCTTTAAACCACATTTGCAGCAGTGTCCTAAAAAACACAAACCAATGCCCAAAAAGTGGCTCAGAAAGAAGCCTTGGAGGAGTGAGCTACGGGGCGGTACCTTTTTTTGCCCCAGGAATGCATGTCCATGTTGGTTGCTCCCTGTTGCGCTGGAAAGAAACTTCAATCACGCCATAGATTTGGGGCATTTGGATGCCTTGGGGGCATGCGTAGTCCTGCAAGGCGAAGTTACCTTGCCTCCACATCTCAAGGATGGTTCCCTGAAGAAATTTCCAAGACGGGTATCTTTGAGAAGCTTCCCCGAACCCGGGGGCAGCTGCGAGAGATGCCAAATGAAGAACACATCCTGCTGGGCGGTTCAACATGGCTTTGCCTTCGCTAGATTGTCGCTTTGCTTGATGCGTGACGACGTGGGCATGCTTCTTGAGGGGCTAGGACTTTGGAAAGAGGCCAGTGGCTTTCCTCAAAGCGTTTGTCAAACCAACCCTGGCCTTTGGCAAGGCTAGGCAAGCGTAGACGACCAACGACCACGTGTCAAAAAAGACCGTTTGCAAGGGGATTGTTTTCCAGTGGTCACACATGGTTCAACAGTGTTTTTTAAGTGTCCCTTTACTGTACATATCCCCCATCCAAAGAAAACTCAAGCAAACATGGATGTTCCGATCACCCAACAAGGGACATGTACATAAACGCATATATATATATATATAGTATATATATATATATTATAAAGACCCCTGTTGAGCCGTGGCTCACAATACCAAGGGCAAAGGGCCGGCAAGGCAATGGGCGCCTTTGTCGCCGTGCTTTCTGACCTGCCCTAGGGGCCCCGTACATGACCGGACGGGTTTTATGAATGCCACCATAAATCAATATGGGGACTACCCAAGACTGATACCTGTCAACCTTCAACCAGCCACCCTCCCAACCAAATTTCACACAGACATGGTAGCTTCCCAGCAAAACCGCCCCTAACATTGATTGAGTTCCTTTTGATCTCCCTTTCAAACCATCTAAAGGGGGCGGTTCCCAAACAAGAACACAGCCACCGGAGGCCCCCTAAGCCAAGATTCAGCAAGTGGAGCGCTTGCTGCCACTCCCCGGTCTTCTCGCAGGCCGTGATGGTGGCATTGAAGGAGATCCTGAGATTGTTTCTTTGTTTGTTTGTTTGTTTTAGGAAACAACGATCTGGAGTTTACTACCGATGAATTCTTCTTTAATAGCATAAACACATCATCCTGCAGTTTGCCTGGGCGCGGCCGAATAGGAGGGGCCAGCCAAAACGAAAGCAAGGCGTGGGCTTCAGCATGGACCTAAAAAACAAACACAAACATCCACTTGAAGTTTCTTTCCGGCCAAATAAAACATACATATATATATATATATCATGACATGCGAAGCTACCATTTATGTGGCATCTTGGCATCCAAGCTCAAGCGACTCGCGCCGGTTTCCCTGTTTGGATCCCACAATTCCCAGGAGGCATAGTGCGCGTTGGCTGCAAACCCAAACTTTCCTGGAGCTGGAGGGTGGATTCACTTGGTTCAGTTGGCATTCAGTCTTGGAACTAAGTGAACCAAGTGGTCAAAGCCCAAATCGGACAGAGGGGACTTGGCTTCTTTGCTCAGAACTTACAATCGACGACAGAACAGCTGATGCTTGACATCGCCGAATAGGTGGGGGCCTATGGTAAGCCATCTTCATCTTCGTTTCGCAAGGGGAACGCACCAGACAACATACATTAGGACTGTCAGCGCTCATGCCTGGAAAAGGTAAACCGAATTTAATAGTCCTCCAGTAAAGAGGTTAGAATAAGGGTACCCTTTTTTTCGGTAGTTTATTTTGCGCTAGGGGAACTCTCCCAAAAAAAGGGTAAAAGGGCACTACTGGGGGACCTAGTCTAACAAGGAAAAGTGTTGACCATCAGCTTCCGTAGCAAGTCTTTACAAAGAAAGCCGCAGGTCTCAATTGGAGTCCTACCCCCCCCCCCCCACCTCGAGGCCCTCGCCTAGGCTGTAGCGGGATACCACGACACCAACAGACACCACTACCATTCAACAGAAGCTAGAAGTATTAAGGACAGAATTGACAGAATACGAATGAACTTCAAAGACAACAAAACAGCCCCCCCCCCCCCACCCCGCCCTAGCCCATCCCCCTCCCCTCCACTGTGTCCACGCCAAGGCCGAGGGGCGCGTTGGGCGGCACGTCTTGCCGGGCCATGGCTTGGAGCAGTTCAAGGCAAAAGCGCCACTGGGCGCAGCGCACGCAGGCGCTGAGGCAGCCATTGAAGCTGATGACCTCAAGGAAGCACAGGAGGAACGCAAAAAAAAAAAAAAAAACAGGAGCTTGGAAACACGGAGGGGGGTAGGGTAGAGTAAACAGGGTATATAGGGTAGGGTTGGATGAATCCTCCATGATGAAGGTTGGGTCAATCTCTTGTTTGAACAAGTTACGCCACATGATGTTTGGAGGGGGAGGGGGGATGGGTAGAACTTGATTGTTCCATATTCTAGCATCTGTAAACCGGCTGGGAGACTGAACTAGGCGTGCCTCTAGCTGCAAAATCCTCCACGTACATTTGCACGGCCTACGTTAAATATGAGCCGTGCTCTCCCAGTGAATCAAGCCACTCAACATTTGCAAAATTCCACGTACATGTGTCTTGCCACGCACCCAATGAAGGCACTTGGCCATGGGCACCGCTGGCTTGGAAACACGCTCTCAAGGGCAGTGTGATCGATTTTGCAGAATACCAACATGAAATAAGATGCCCCAAAGCACCTTCCGCATGGGAGCTCGCTGCTCGCTGTAAAATAGGCAAATCAATGAAGTCACGAGCTGACACTGGTGTGTGTGTGTGTGTGTGCTGGTTTGCGCGTCTACATTCTGAACGTATCTCAGCTTGCGTTTTGTGCATGACCTGGTGGTATTGCGTCTTCCTCAAGGATCAGTGGGTGTCCTGCCGCAACGGAATCTCCAATTTGACTTTGTAACAAAACTGTGCCGTAGCACCTTCACCCAACTTGTGACGTACAGTATCTCCGGTCAGTGAATTAAAGTCCAATCCCGGCTTCAAAGTCGAGGGGCTCCAAAGCGCCAAGGTGCTCGAACTGTTGGTCATGCTTGCAGCCCAACTCTCAATATCGCATCGACACCATGCAAAGGAAAAACTCACACACATAGAGCCAGTCAGCAGGAAGGCATTAAGGACCAAATCTCAACTTTGCAGCCCAGGAGACCATTCATGAGAACCCACCCAACCCTCAAAGGAAAACAAAAGAGA